AATCCGATCATGAAAAGTGTTTACATGCACCGGACTTTTAAACAACGCTCCTCTGTGCGCTCAGGACGGACCCGTGTCAGCTTTTAATAACGGTAGAGACGCCGTTACTCCTCGGTTGAGCTGCAGCCTGCAGATGAAGCAATACGTGCTTTTTATTTTTATTTTTTGCGAAGCAACGTCTGCTGTTTGCCTCCTTTTTCATCTGTTGAGAGAGTGAGGACGAAAAGTTCTGCACGGTGCCGCACAGCTGGAGCGCTGCTGTCCCACCGGGTGAATGAAAGTCAGCAGACATGCTGCGCACAGGTCAGTTTTCTACAATCAGAATAAGATGATCCGATTAAGTGTTTACATGAACCTCATTCCGATTATCAATCGGCATAACCCACCCTTTTCATTCGGATTAAAAATTCATTCGGATCGAGCTCAATCGGATCAGAATAATCGGAACGGGCTGTTTACAAGACGCATTTTTTTTCCGAACGGCTGTTTAATACGATTACTTTTGTCTTTGTAAACGTAGCTAATGACAGACAACAAATATTACATTTATAGTATTACAACTAAAACCGTTTTTGACGTCGCCACCGCAGTTTGTCCTTCATGAGCCTTRGTAGACAAGATGGCGGTGCAAGATGGCGGCTGCCTGTGTGGTGACCCGTGACCATGGAGATATAAACAGCTTTTTATAAGGTAAAAATAATAAAACAAGGTCTTTGTCTGCAATGATTAGACATGTTTTTTTATTATTGTCATTAGTGATTATCTCAATTTCGGCTAAAAGAATTGACAAAATCCTACACATTGTGCCTTTAAAACATTTAGCATAACTCTAACCATGCATCTCAGTTATTGCATCAGGTATTATTCCACTATTATTCATTTTAAACAGAGTTACCTATGACACAGAAGGGTTTCCTGGCAAAGCGGAGGCGTCCCTGCCAGCCTCTGTATCGGCAGCAGCAGCCAGCACTCCATATCCTGATGATGTACTCAAGGCCAAACACGACAATCATCACAAACTCCTACAACACACACACAAACACACACATCATATATACTGCCACAGCAAAGAATCAAAGCAAAGTGTATATATATATATATATA